TAGTTTTTTTTTTTAAAGTCTGTTGGTTTTCATCTACTTGAAAGGCAGAGCAACACAGAGATAGAGAGAGATGTTCCATCTGCCAATTCACTGCCCCAGATGCCCCCACAGCCAGATCTGGGCCAGGCCAAAGCCAGGGGCCTGGAACTCCATTTGGGTCTCTCGCATGGGAGTCAGGATCCCAAGCACTTGCTCTGTTATCTGCTCTCTCCCAAGTGTACTGGAACTAGAGCAGCCAGGACTGGAAACAACACTCCAGTATGAAATGTGGGTGTCCCAAGTGGCAGTTTAACCTGCTGCATCTCAATGCTGGCCCCTAGGTGAGATTTTTTTTTTTTACAAGTTTTTAGTAGGAAATGAAATTGTGTAATTCTGTTGTCTGCGTGCAGGTACAAGTTGCAGTGGCAAAGGGCATATTACTGGATGCATATTTTCATTTAAATCAGACCCAATTCTGTAGCTGAAACAGCTAAAGAGAGAATGAGAAGGGAAAACTGGAACATTAGGGGTGTCTCAGCGCTGGGGGCTGGATGACCTTGGGCCTTTGCCTCCACAGCTCACTCCTTCACTGCGGTCATACAGCAGGGGCTGGGAGGTGGGGAGGCCAGGAGATCTCCCACCCCCTGATGGGGGCAGCCTCTGCCTGGGCCTCCAGCCGCAGGCTCCACTGCTACTGCCACTTGGAAATCTACCTGTGTCTCAAGTAAGGTGCAAGGATCCAGGAAATTCTCCCAAAGAAAGTTTAATCAAAATCTGTATTTTGCTCTGGTCAGGAGAGGGAGAGAGAGGAGTTCATGAGAAAAACGAACTTGGTAAGCAATGGAGCAATTCCAGGGAAGGGGTTGATTCTGAGCAGCAGAGAGAAGTGAGCATACTTCCTGTGGACAGGCAACATAGCAGCAGAGAGGGAGAGGGCACCCTCACCCCAACCACGTGCTAGTTGCCATTCCAGGCTCAGGGCGCTCAGAACTGACACAGAGAAGGCCTGACGTGTTTGCTGAGCAAATGGATTTTTATCTTTTGAGAGGCAGAGATATGGGGGGAGGGAGAGATTCCACCTGCTGGTTCACTTCCCAAATGCATGCAACAAGCCAGAGCTGAGTAAGCTCACTGAGACTCCTGCATCGAGGCTCCTCCCACCTCACTGCCTGGGGCAGCCCTGGCTGATTTCTACTCGGGGTCCATGGGAACCTTAGAAGAGGGTCCCATGGATGGGACGTGATGATACAGCACTGATGGGATGGGGATGCCACCACGGAGGTGCCCTCGGTGGGAGTAAGGCACAGTTCACCAGCCCTTAACCCAGCCAGGCACACCAGGGTCCCACTGACACTCGACACAAGGGAGAATTCAAGGTTCTGGGGCCACAACATCAAGATTCAAATGGAACACACAGTGACCCAGCCAGTAGATGCCTGGGAGCCTGCTCTGGGCGGGCAGCCAGCTGGAGGCCCGGTTCCATATGCCTTTTGTTCCAGTAGGTACTTAGCATTGGCACCTGCTTCACAAATGTGAGTGGCACTTGCCAGCCATGCGAACTTTAATGAGATTCAAGTGTTCTGGTTTGGGTCAGAAGATCACTCCCCTACTCCCTGGAGTTGTCATCAGATTCTTGGAAGCCCTGGTTAAAATGCAGGTTCCTGGGCTGGTGCTGCAGCACAGTAGCCTAAACCTCTGCCTGTGGTGCCAGCATCCCATGTGGGCACCAGTTCAAGTCCCTGCTGCTCCACTTCTGATCCAGCTCCCTGCTAATATGCCTGGGAAAGCAAAAGAAGGTGGTCCAAGTGCTTAGACCCCTGCACCCATGTGGGAGACCTGGAAGAAGCTCCTGGCTCCTGGTTTCAGATCTGCCCAATCCTGGCCATTGTGGCCATCTGGGGAGTGAACCAGCGGATGGAAAACCTTTCTTTCTGTCTCTCCTTCTCTCTGTCTGTAGCTCCACCTCTCAAATAAATAAATAAAAATATTTTTTAAAAAATTCAGGTTCCGTGGTCTCTCCCCTATGGATTCTGATCAGAGGCTCTGGGGTAGGGCCCAGGAATCTGCATTTCACCTGGCCTCCCAGAGGACTCTGTGACCAGCAAGCGTGGGAAAGCTGCTTTACACACGTGCTCCCGTCAAGGCCACTCACGTGCTTGTGAAACACCACAGGCCAGAGCTGATGTGGATGGCAGATGGATTGGGGCAGGGGGCTAGGAGTAGGGTGGCTGGTGTGGACAGACCTGTGGGTATTTTGTGTTGTCTCCTCCCCAGTCTAGACTTTGGTGTCCACAGCACCCCAGCAGAACACATTTGCATGACCTTTGAGCTGACGTGGGTGGGTAGAACTCCCAGCAGCACAACATAGGGTTGACAGCACAAGGTACACACGCTGCGCCCTCATTCCTTACACCTCACATCCAGCACCGCCTGCTCCTCCTAGTGGCCAAGGCCAAGGCTGCACCGATGGCTGGGCCAGCTTCTCCAATAACATCGACCACTGCATAGGCTTTCCTGTCTCCAAGAACCCCTCTGGATACAGAGATTTAAGGCTAATGATACTGTGGCCAGCGCTGTGCTGCAGCAGGGAAAAGTGACACCTGCATATGGGCATCTGGTTCAAGTTCCGGCTGTTCCTCTTCCCATCCAGCTCTCTGCTAATGGCCTAGGAAAGCAGCAGAAGATGACCTGAGTGCTTGGGAGACCCAGATGAAGTTCCAGACACCTGGTTTTGGCCTGGCCCAGCCCTTGATATTGTAATCATTTGGGGAGTGAACCAAGGGATGATTCTCTCTCTTTCTCTCTCTCTTCCCTCCCCTCTGTAACTCTGCCTCTCAAATAAATAAATATAATAATATAAATTATATTATATATTTTATATTTTAATAAATATTTTTAAAAATACTTATTTATTTGAGAGGCAGAGTTACAGGGAGAGACAGAGAGATCTTCCATCCATTGGTTCACTCCCCAAATGGCCGCAAGGGCTGGAGCTGGGCCAATCCGAAGCTAGGAACCAGGAGCTTCATTCAGGTCTCTCATGTGCGTGCAGGGGTCCAAGCACGTGGGTCATCCTCCACTACTTTCCCTGGCCATTAGCAGGAAGCTGGAACAGAAGTGTAATAGCTGGGACTTGAACTGGCGCCCATATGGAATGCCAGCATGGCAGGTGGAGACTTAACCTCCTACACCACAGAGTCAGCCCCAATAAATAAATCTTTTAAACAAAGAATAAGGAAACTGGGGTGGGCATTTGGGGGCTTAGAGGCTAAGCTGCTGGCTGAGTGGCCTCATCGCACATTTGAGTAGTGGGTTGAAGGCAGCTCTGCTCTCAATTCCAGCTTCCCGAGAATGGACACCCTGGGAGACAGCAGCGGTGGCTCAAGTGGTTGAGGCTTGCCACCAACATGGATTGGTTCCCACTCCCAGCATCTGTTGGCCTAATCCCAGACGTAGCAGACATCTGGGAAGTGAACCAGCAGGCGGCAGCTCGCCCTACCTGTCTCTCAAATAAATAAAACAGATACTTTTTAAAGAGAAGGCGTTGACCAAGTTCCAAAAGCAACATAAAGGAAATAAAACTGAAGCAGCCAAGTGTACACCAGCAGACGAATGGCTAAGCAAAATGTGCAGAATGAAGTGTTAGTCCACCTTCAAATAGGAAGGAAATTCTGATACCGGCCACAACATGGGTGAATTCGGAGGACACCACACTCTGTGAAGAAGCCAGTCTCAAGAGGACAAACAAACACGTGCATGATTCCACTTACATGTGGAGCCTGGAACAGTCAAATTCATAGAGACAGATGGTGTTTGCCAAGCCCCAAGGGCAGTGTTTTTTTTTTAATTTAAGATTTATTTTATTTATTTGAAAGACAGAGTTACAGAGAGGTAGACACAGAGAGAGAGAGAGAGATCTTCCATCCACTGGTTCACTCCCCAGATGGCCGGCCACAACCACCGGAGTTGCGCCAATCTGAAGCCAGGAGCCAGGATCCTCCTCCAGGTCTCCCACATGGGTGCAGGGCCCCTAGGACTTGGGCCATCTTCTACTGCTCTCCCAGGCCATAGCAGAGAGCTGGATTGCAAGAGGAGCAGCCCGAATTAGAACTTGTGCCTATATGGGATGCCAGCGCTTCAGGTCAGGGTGTTAACCCGCTGCAGCACAGCACCAGCCCCTGCGAGGGCAGTGTTGACTGGGTGCAGAATCCCAGTTCTTCAGGATGAAGGGCATGGCAGGGGGGTGGCAACCACATGAATTTATTTAACGCCACTGAAGTGTATACTTACAAATGGCTGAAACGGTACGTTTAATGTGCTACGTATTCCACCACAAGCCAAAGAAGGAAGAGAGGAGTGGGCATTCAGCCTAGTGGTTAAGATACCCCTGGGATTGCCTGCATTCCATGTTGGAGTCCATGGGTTGGGGTCCCAGTTCAAGATTCCAGCTTCTTGCTAATACACACTCCGGGAAACAGCAAGTGAGAGCTCAAGTCCTTGGGTCCCTGCCACCCACATGGGAGTCTGGCAGATCTGGATTCAGTTCCTGGCTCCCTGACCCAGTCTTGGCAGGAAGGCATTTAGGGAGTGAACTGACACGTGGGAGATCTCTATCTCTCTTTCTGTCTCTCTCTCTGTCTCTGTGTGTGTGTGTGTGCAATTAATTACATAAAGAATAAAAGAAATAGGACTAAAAATGACTTCCATCCCTCAACCCCCACCACCACATCAAGAGTGAATGTGAACTGTGGCCATTGGGTGACAAGGATGAGTCCATGTGAGGTCAGTAACCAATGCACCGCTGGTGGAAGACACTGCTAACAGGGAGACAGTGCATGTATGGGGGCAGAGGTGTATGAGAAATCGCTCTAGCTCTGCTCAATTTTGCTGGGAATCCAAGAGGCTCTTTAAAAATGCCTATAAAAAAGCCTATTTAAAACAAACAAGGATGCCCCAAAATACAGGGTTTTCAAAGAAGGAGCAGTGCTGTTCCTCTCTCCGCCACTACCCGCGTGACTCACGTGTTGCAGCAATGAATTCCAGTCTCATCACAACTACATGTGTAACAGTTCTCAGTCTTCCACTCCACGTTCAGCTTGTGTGTGACTCCATCAAGGTCCCTGCATTCTAAGACAACACAAGCGACATCATCGGGAGCATTGGCGGGAGCAGGGCACATGAGGACAGGAAGGCCAGCCCCCTGCCATGTGACCATGGTGTCCGGGAAAGGTGCTGCCGTGCAGAACCTGCCGTTGGTGACGTTTTGTCACAAAGCTTGAATCCCTGCAGGTTTTATTTCCGGACAGACATTTGGAGATATAAAGCCCTCCTCTTTAATCAGACAGCTAGGACAAACATGGGCTCTGTGGGACCAAGTTCTCTCCTGCTGGCTTCTCTCTGCAGAAATACCTCAGCACAGCACCTCCCTATGTTTTGCATCGGCGGTCCCTAACCCTGGGTGAACATGTGACACATACGGGGCACTTCAAAGCCACCTACAGGGACCTGTGAGAGGCCGGCATCCCACATGGGTGCCACTTTGAGTCCCAGCTGCTCTACTTCCTACCCAGTGCCCTCCTAATGTGCTTGGGGAAGCAGTGGAAGATGGCTCAGTTAGTTGGGCCCCTGGCACTCAACATGGGGAAACTCAGTGGATGGAACGTCTCTCTCTCCCCACTCTCATACTTTCTCTCTGTCCCTTCCTCTCTTTCTGTAACTCTGCCTTTAAAATACATAAGATAATTTTTTTTTTAATTGAACACTTGGAGGTGGGCATTTGGGCTATCTCAGGAGTGGACCAGTCAGGGTTTGGAAGCTCATTGTCTCCGTCTCTTTCTCTCCCTGTTCCATTTCCTATCAAATAAACAAAATAGATAATGGAAAATTTGAAATAAAAAAATTTACATCTGGGACCCACCCCAGAGCAAGGAAATCAGAGTCTCCGGGTGTGAAGCCCAGGCCACCACATGTTTAAGAAACTCCCCGGGGCTGGCGCTGTGGTGCAGCGGGTTAATGTCCTGGCCTGAAGCGCCGGTATCCCATATGGGCACCAGTCTGAGTCCCAGCTGCTCCCCTTCCAATCCAGCTCTCTGCTGTGGCCAGGGAAAGCAGTGGAAGATGACCCAAGTCCCTGGGCCCCTGCACCCACGTGGGAGACCTGGAAGAAGCTCCTGGCTCCTGACTTTGGATCAGCCCAACTCCAGCCAGTTTAGCCATTGGGGAAGTGAACCAGCAGATGGAAGATTCTCTCTCTCTCTCTCTCTCTCTCTCTCTCTCTCTCTCTCTCTGCCTTTCCTCTCTGTGTAACTCTTTCAAATAAAATAAATAAATCTTAAAAAAAAAAGAAACTCCCCAAGAATTCAAATGTTTAACCAAGGGTACAATCCTCTGCTTTGCATCCATGTGGTCCCAGTGTCCCGGAAGGACCAGTTGCAACATCACCTGGGGTGGCATGAGACACGCAGACTCCCACATCTGCCTGCAGAGCCACTGACCCAGGGCTGTGCCCCACTTCATAGTCAAATAAGGAGCTTTTATTCTATTTTATTTTTGAGCAACATATGGTGCTCCCATCTGCTGATTCACTCCCTAAATGCCCACAGCAACCTTGGTGTGGCCCAGGGCCAAAGCTGGGAGCCCAGAACTCCATCCAGGTCTCCCACATGAGCTGCAAGGACCCAATGAATTGAGCCGTCATCTGCTGCCTCCCAGGACGCACAACAGCAGGAAGCTAGAATTGGTAGCAGAGCTGGGACTTGAACCCAGGCACTTTAGTATGGGATACAGGGTCCCAAGCCACAGTGTAACTATTAAGCCAAATGCTCACCCCATCAAGGAGCTTTTAATGTGCAGCTCATACCCCAGTGATTCTCATTTGCCTACCTGGTTTTAGATTGGATGGGACTTGAGCGCTGGTAAGTTTCAAAAGAAGAACAAAGTCAACTCTCACCCAGCTAGGGTTAAGTTGGAATCCTTTTGACACCATCTCTATATTTGCCCTGACCCTCTTTCTTATGCAGATTCAAAGGTGTTCAGCACCAGTGCACAGGTCACATCTCCCAGGCTGCAGTGACATAATCAACGCTGGAGAATGGGGACTCACCATCAGGGGGATCCTCCGGGTTCTTGTCATAGAGTTCGACATAGCACTGCGTGTTGCACAACACCAAGAGGCTGGCGAAGACCACAAGGCTGCCCAGCAGAGTGTTCTGTAACATGAAGAGGAGTGAGGACGGAGAATGAATGAACCCAGAGGGTTGGGTCCTGGCAGGTGTGCGAAGATGGAGCTGCCACCCTCATGGAGCAAGACCTGTGCAAGTCCAGAGCATGAGCCAAAGAAAGACTGAGTTGTGAGTTCAAGGTCCTGGAGCTATGATGCCCATGTGCTACTTATCACAGAGCGGTCAGGGAAACCTTTCTGGGTAGGGTCGTTTTTAGCAAGAATCTGCAAGAGTGAAGGGGTGGAGGAGTTTCAGGAAGAGATAAAGGGGAAGAAACTCTGGCTGGGGCTTTCTTGGGCTAGCTGGGTCAGCTGGGGGTCCCAGAGGAAAGACAGGTGCAAGCAAAGCTGTGAGCATGAGGATCAGATGATTTTTTTCATTTTCTAGATGACAAAGGCATCGCTGCCGACCATATGAACAGACCAAGGGATCTAGGCTGAAATCAAGGACAAGGAGAAGGATCAGGTTACGCTTGTCATCGTTCCTAGATAAACTGCACAAACTAACTTTAAAATGATAATCCCCAGGAATCTTCTAAAAACAAAGATGGGGTGAGAGTACTTAAGAATATTTATTTGAAAGGCAGAGTGACAGAGAGAGAGAGAGAGAGAGAGAGAGGGAGAGACCTTCCATCTGCTGGTTCACTCCTCACACGGCCCCAACAGCAGGGGCTGGGCCAGGCTGAAGCCAGGAGCCAGGAACTCCACCTGGGTCTCCCATATAGGTGGCAGGAGCCCAAGTACCTGAGACACCTTCCACTGCCTTCCCAGGAGCGTTAGCAGGAAGCTGCTCTCAGCCTGGACCCGAGCCAGCACTGGACACGGGACACTGGCCTGGTAATCCACAGTTGAATCCTCTTGTGCCACAACTCCCACCTTGTACTTTCTCTTTTTGCACTAAAGTTATGTGTTTTAAAGGCTTTATATGTAATGTTCACACATAAAAAACTTGAAGTGCTTTTCTGTAATTGAAAAATGCAAAGAATTAAAAAATAAGGTTTTCAATATTTGAAAAAAGTACAGATTGACAAAAATGTGTGTAGTATGTCATGAGAACTACACCAACAAATACAAACAGGATACATGACAGAATTATCCTGCAATAACTTAGGTTACAAAGTACATTAACTAAAATGCACAAACTTCTGTGCATTCTAAACTACAGGGTTTTTTTCTTCTTCTTCTTTTTTTTTTTTTTTTTGTTGTTGTTTCTGCAGAATCCTTAAAACCTGTGACACTTAAAAGTTGTTAGCCTGTGGCTGGCTCTGTGGCATAGCAGGTAAAGCCACCGCCTGCAGTGCTGGCATCCCATATGGGGGCCAATTTGAGTGCCAGCTGCCCCACTTCCAATCCAGCTCTCTGCTACGGCCTGAGAAAGCAGTAGAAGATGGCCCAAGTCCTTGAGCCCAACTTGGGCCCCTGCACCCACGTGGGAGACCTGGAAGAAGCTCCTGGCTTCAGATTGGCCTAGCTCCAGCTGTTGCAGCCATCTGGGAAGTGAACAAGCAGATGGAAGACCTCTCTCTCTCTCTCTCTCTCTCTCTCCCCCCATCTGCCTCTCTGTAACTCTGCCTTTCAAATAAATAAATAAATCTTAAAAAATAATAAAAATAAAAAATAAAATAAATTAAAAAGAATAGAAGTGCAAATATACATAACCAAATAGAGAACCCAGAAAGTACTCATAAATCTGTATGAAAGTTTGTTATAAAATAAGCATGGTCTTTGAGGAGAGTAATGATTCATTAAATGGTTTTAGAACAAGTGAGGCACTGTGTGGGGAAGAAATAAGTTTCTTACTTTAGTTCCCACAATGTAAGAAGCTTGAAAAGGATTCAAGGCTCAAATGTTTACAAGATAATAAAATAACCACAGAAAATATTGGCAAATATTTATCTTATGCAGTATGAAAAAAATAGATTTGAGTATGTAAAAAATTGCAAAAATATAAATAAAATTAAAAAGATATCAGATTTGGAAAATAGTATCATTACAGGAAGACTGTCATCTCATAGAAAAAGAAAAACATTTTAGTATAAAAATGGCATTTTGGGGCCAGCGCTGTGGCGTAGTGGGCTAAGCTCCGCCTGCAGTGCCAGCATCGCATATGGGCACCAGTCTGAGTCCCAGCTGCTCCTCTTATGATCCAGCTCTCTGCTGTGGCCTGGGAAAGAGTGGAGGATGGCCCAAATCTTTGGGCCCCTGCACCCACGTGAGAGACCTGGAAGAAGTTCCTGGCTCCTGGCTTCAGATCTGCCCAGTTCCAGCAGTTGCAGCCATTTGTGGTGAACCGGTGGATGGAATACCTCTCTCTCTGTCTCTCTCTCTCACATGTAACTCCACATCTCAAATAAATACATACATCTTTTTTTTTAAAAAAAGGCATTTCACACCCATGCATAGACACAATGAAACATGATGAGCAAGCACGAAAAAAGTTCAACTTACTGAAAACAAAACAAATGTAAAATGTGTATAAAATAGAACCATAATGGTATGGCGAGAATAACCATTTAATTTATAACACCCGGAGGGAAACAGACACATGGGTGAGATGTGAGAGGCACAAGGGCCAGTCGGCTGGAACAATGGTTAGGGCATGCAATTTGAGAGCGTGCATCAAACTCCTTAACACCGTTTACAATGCCAATCTTCACTTCTTCACTTCCCAGACTTGATCTTCAGAAAAGACTCCTCCCCATAGCAGTGGGAAATGGAAAAACACTACTCGCCCAAGAACAGAGCTGGTTAAGAACCAGGGATGATTCAGAAAAGCACCTGGCAAGTGGGCGGGGCTGGTGGTGGCAGGACCTGGGGCACTCAGGGAGATGAAGACTTTGCAGGATGTGACTCCTGGGGGTGCTGGAGATGCACGAGACTGAATGACAGTGACCCATGGGAGATCATCTTACTAAGAGGGTGCATTACCCAGGTGACAGTGTCTCAGAAACAGCCCGCTCCCCGGCCCCACCCAAAAGTTAGTTTGTCTTGCATGCATGCTATGCTTTGAATGCCGTCACCCAAACTCCTGTAACAATTCAACCCAGATGGGAAGGCACTAACAGGTAGGACCCCCCCCCCCCCAGAGGTGATTAGGTCATGTGGGTGGAGCATTCATGAGTTCACAGACTAAGGGATCTGGGGGCTGGCACTGTGGTGCAGTAAGTTAAGGTGTTATTTGGGACATCCTCTATCAGAGTGCTGGTTTGAATCCCAGCTGCTCCACTTTTGATCCACCTCCCTGCTAATGTGCCTGGGTTCCTGCCACCCACATAGGTAGACCTAGATGAAGCTCCAGGCTCCTGGCTTTGCCTGGGCCAGCCTTGCCTGCTGCAGATATTTGGAGAGTGAGCCAATGGATGGAAGAGCTCTTTCTGTCTCTCCACTTCTCTCTGTCACTCTGCCTTTCAAATTAATAAGATAGGAGCTGGTGTTGTGGGGCAGGGGGTTAAGCCTCCACCTGCAATATTGGCATCACATAGGGTCATGGTTTGAGTCCCGGCTGCTCCACTTCCAATCCATCTCCCTGCTAATGTGCTTGGGAAAGCAGCAGAGGGTGGCCCTTCAAGTAGTTGGGCACCTGCCACTCAATGGGAGAGCCGGATGAAGTTCCAGACTTCTGGCTTCAGCCTGGCCCAGTCCCTTTGGGGAGTGAAACAGCAGATGAAAGATTCTCTCTCTCTCTCCCTCTCCCTCTCTCTGTAGACCTTGACCTTTAAAATAAGTAAATAAATGTTAAAAAACAAAAACCCTGTTCTCACTGCAGACCAATTACATCCGAGTGTCTGGGAGCTCCTGTCAGTATTTTTCAAGGTTTCCCAGGCGATCCTGCTGCAGAGAGCAACCCCTGGCTTTGCACTCAGCTCCCCTATAGGCTTGTAGTCTCTTCCAGTCCCCAGGCTCAGTTTATCTATAAAATGGTGCAATGATTGGTCCGGCATTGCATTCCATCTCACCAGCCACTCAAATAGGCCCCAAGAATCAGAGACACCAGAGACCTCACTGAACCCCAGAGTTTCTAGAGCAACTCAGATCTTAGGGAACTCGTTAGGATTTCCCAGAGTCCCCAGACCCTTTTTCTACTCTACACGTTGAATTGCCAAGTCACATGCGGAAGATTCCTAACTAGGTCCACTCACCATTAAATGCACCCCGTGAGCTCCAGTACAAGTAGAAGTGAAATAAGGAAGACACTTCCCCCCTCCTTTCTGGTCTCTATGTACCCACTCAGTTACCTACCATTGTGGTGAGCAGGGTTCCTTACAGACAGGTGCATCCAGGACAAGTCAGGCCACACTTTTATATAGGAAGGGACAATTACACACACACACACACACACACACACACACACCACCCCACCACCAGCACCACGCAACATCATTCAAGAAAGTAACACGCCAAGAACACCTCAAGTGTTTGCAGAGGGCTGCGTTCAGCTGAGTTACGATGATTCATAAAGCAAGCCTCCACCCCAAATAAGTGTTTACCTTTGTCCCCACCCCAACTGCATTTCCCCTTGACCTGAAAGGGTGGGGGAGGAGAGCACTGCCCTTCACAGAGCCGTCACTCTGTGCTGGGCATGTGACACCTTCTTACTTGATTTTATGAACAAAGAAATGGAAGTCCAGAAATGCCAGCCCCGAGAGCCAGGTCATGAAGCTGGGTTTTGTGAAGGAGTAAGAACAGCCCAAGGAATCAACGCCGTCCCCCACCCTGGCCCACCAGGCCTGCAGCTATGGTCCAGTTGGCACTGCCTTTAGAGTGTGGCAGGAGAGAGCAGCAGTGTTCCAGGGCCGGGAGCACAGCTTCCCCTTGACAAGCCATGTGGCTCTGTCCACTTGGCCTTGACCTTTCTAAAGTTCAAGTTTCTAAAGTTTTTTTTTTTTTTAATTTTTGTACAGGCAGAGTGGACAGTAAAAGAGAGAGACAAAGGTCTTCCTTTTCTGTTGGTTCACCCCTCAATGGCCCCTGCAGCCGGTGTGCTGCGGC